TTTGAGACCACATTATCCTTGTAGTGGCAGTTTCCGATTATGCCACCAGTAGCGACACCCGAAGTGTCTGCTGCGACAAATATAAAGCGATGATCCGACCCATCATAGAACTTTAAGTGACTCAGTTTGAGATGGCCATTCTCGAGTTGAGTCCTAATTCTGTCCAAGCCCATTTTAATCTCGTTGTTGAGACTGTATTTACGGCCCTTTGCAATTTCCGCTTTAAGAGGTCCAAGGTTGACTGATAGGTCTCTTAAGGAGCGAGAATAGAAATTAAGCCTTCCAAGCCACTTCTGCGCAGATTTTAGTGACTCAGGGTACTGAAAATTATCAATGAGGGCTTTGAGCTTGTCCGGATCAGGCATCACCGATTTCTCAGTCACTACGTAGCCTAAAAACTTGACCGATTTCTCGTTAAAAGCACATTTACTCAACCCAACTACAACACCATTTTTCTCAAGCCGCTCTAAGACTTCCCCAAGTACCTCAGGTAAGAACTTTTCAGGGTATATCAGCATAAAATCGTCCATGTATGGAACAATCTCATAGATTTTCCCATTGTTTGGCAGATTCTTTAAAATGGCGTTTATGAAAAAGCAGAAGATTCCTGGCTCACTGAAAGACCCATACTGAGTCTTTTGTACCGAACTTGATCGGCGTTAAAGCTAAACGCTGTGATATCCCGATCTTTTGAATGTATTCGCAAACAGAAGAAAGCATTTTTGAGGTCAATTGTTGAAAACCTTATTCTTTCATCTGGGAATTCTTCTCTAAACCTCGAAATAGCCTGGCTGATTTGGGACATGAGTGTTCTGATTGTTGCTAGCGGGAATTTCACAGGAAGTAAGCTGCTATTCACGGAATTTTCACCCTTACTGGAAAAGTTATTAACTAGTCTTAATTGTCCCGAAGGCTTTTTAAGAAAAATCGCTGGTGAATTCCACGCGCTCATGCATGATTCAACGATCAGATTATTTTTCATGTTTTCGATCAGCTCGCTACTTTCTCGGATCATAGATTGATCAATCTTGTACTGGTTTGAGTACGAAGGCTGGGAACCTTCCTTTGTATCTAGAGTGACGGTAAAATAGCTGTTGAGTCCTGCGTCGTTTGCGGACCGTGCGTAGATCCAACTGTGCTTTTCTAGTTTTTCGAGAGATCTTGGTTTCAGCCAATCTGGCACGTTTTTCAGAGCGTTCTGTATCTCACTGTGCACCGAAACTTTCTCGACAAGGCAGTTTCTCATTTCCCTCCAAGCTTCCGTTTCCGCTAGTGCGATATCTTTTTCCATTTCTGAAAGCTGGTCGTTTTTTATCAGGGAATTAAGAAAAGCAATAGCCTCATTTTCTGTATTTGCCTCAATAACAACCGCTAAAGTAACTCCTTCCATAAGAAAAATATTTTCAGAAGATTTGTTTGTTAAGCGAATTCGGCGCCAATTCGTCTTAAACTCTTCTTCAATTTCCAGACCGTACTGGCCTAACTTCTGTGGGACACTTAATTTTACCGTGCCCTCTACCATTTCCGAAGTTATATTTTTGCCTCGCAGGGTACCCACATCGAACTTAGTGGTTCGATAAATGTAGCTTCTTTCAGCAAAAGTGTAAAACTTTTGCAAATTTCAGGATCACTGTCCACCTCCACTTCAAGTGGAAAATCCTCGGCCGGTAAAACATTAAGAAATTTTGGGTCTCCATCAAAATTGATTTTATGATCTTTTAAGAATTGGAATCCTAATATACAGTCATAACTCATGTGTGGAATCACGTCAAATGTACAATTGATATACTCCTTTTTCTTAATTTTGATGTTACAGATTAATTCTTCCGTGACTTTGGTAAGATTAGATTGAATAGCATTGTTAACTGAATATGATTTTAGTTTTTCTTGAGCTGGGAAATGTGCATTTAAAACAGATTTGTTAATAAAATTATTTGTAGCACCACTGTCTAGGAGACAGTTATTCAGTGTCATAGAAAAGATTTTATCATTGTGAAGGTCATAATTGATTAGTTGAATGGTTATTATAGGCAACATTTGTTAGTTATTGACTGTCTAGATTTCTTACAGTTTTGTTCGGCACTCGGGGCTTTTGTGCCCAACCTTTAGGCACCGCCGACAGACGATCTGCTCTTTTCGCTGTTTCGTGGATTCAGAACGTTGTGGTCCGCTCTTATCTTTTTCTGCTTCTTCCTTCTGCCTTTTTCGACATTCTGCTTTCACATGCCCGACTAAACCACAATACCAACAAGTGCGGGGTTTCTTTTGCGCTTGTCGTTTTTCTTGGGCAAAATTATTAACCTCTATTGTTTTTATGTTTTTCATGTCAATTATAGTCTGGGCCATCGCTAGGATCTCATTCACGTCTTTGCTCTTTTCAGTTAGTGCGATAAAGGCTGCCTCGCGAGTAACAAATGCGGGTAGCTTCTTTTTCAGGTAAGAAAGTGTAATTTTATCTAGAACCTTTGCCTCAGTATCCGGTCCTAGAAGATTTTCTACAAGCCCTCTTAGCGAAAAGAAAAAGGTTCTAACCGCTTGATCAGGACTGTAATTTAAGCGCTCAATTTGCCTTTCTTTCTCGCTTTCGGAAATCGCGAAAGTACCCAATAAAATATTTTTAAACTCGGCAAATGTTTTAACTTTTGGATGGTTGGCCAATTCCTCTATCGCTTTTGCTTGAAGTTGCGGGTTAAGCTCACCCAAAAGACAACCGATGACTCGATCTAGATTTGACACTCCTAGGTATTTAAGCAAAGTCATGCTATTATCTAACCACCGAGAGAGGTCTTGTGATTCATCATATGGGTGGAGCTTTATTTTTGAAAATGGCTTTTCGTTTCGCGAAAGATTGTTGATTTCAACTGTAGGGGTTGGCCTTGGTGAGAAAATCTTCTCTTGGTCAGGTATTTCAGAAGAGTTTGGTGTTGGCTCAGACCTTTGTTGGCCCTGCTGATAATCGGGCTCTGGCTGGTCAAATTCAAATTTCACTCGCCTTGACCTTGGTGGGTATGACGTATGCGAAACTCTAGGTTCAGATGGTAAACTTGAAATTACCGTGATTGGTGGGTTGCCTGGTATGAAAGACTGATTTGTTATCACTGGGCCTGGTGAAGTGGGCCCTGGCATTCCTTGAGCTACAGTTGTCCCACCTGGTAATACTGGAGCCGTCATTAAATCGCATATGTAGAATTTCGAAATTGGCTCAGCAAGCTCATCTGTAGCGATGGCTTTTAATCCGCTTTTAGCCTTTGATTCTGGGAGCCCTTGAAATATGCACTTTTAATGAATGAATCATTAGTCTCTGGCATGCCGTAAGATATTAACATGTCCATAGGATTCTTTTACTTTAGTGAAAAAGTTATCGGTTGAACTTAGACTTAAGTAGAGGTTTGCATCTAGTTTTACAATTTTTGCGGGGAAAATGAACACTTTATTACCCTTGTAGCAAAGCACAAATGAGACAGCGTTACCCCTTTCCGTAAATCTAGAAAGTATGTCCTCTTTTGAGGGGTTCCCAACAAGGATATCTTTGTCTAAAATATCTGCCCAATCGGAGAGCTTTGCCTTTGTTGTCGAAAGACTTATTTTGAGGTCGATGAGGCTTATACCTTTCCCCATCTTTCTGTTGTTTTGCAAATTTACCTTTGCTTGTTTTTCTCTGCTGTGACACTCACACTCGTCAGTTTGGTCCACGGACTCAGTCACCAATAATGGGACTAGTATTCTGCGACTAAAGATTAAAGACTAAAGTTTATCTCTCTAGCTGCTCTCTAGAATCTCTAAGCTTGTCTTTATTCAAATCTCTAGTTGCAATTTCGGGGGTGATTTCAGGAGACGAGGTTTTAGGCGAATGTGTCGTTTTATTTCAGATTCAGAAGAGGTGAGCGTTGAGCTCTGGAGATAAGAGGAAACAGAGAGTAACACTTTTCAAGGCTTGAGCAGTTATGTTTGAAAGTATCTACTCGCTAGAGTATAGTCCCTATAGTGTAGTTATATTTTTTCCGAGAAAAATGAAGTGAAGTGAAGTTACTTTTTTAAAGTTGATCACTTTAACTTCAAAGTTAACTTTATTGAAGTTGAAATGAAGTGATTCGGAACTCTGATCTTGACTATCTCTTTCTATTAACTATTTCATTGTTTTTCTTTCAAAAAGTTCTAGTAAGAAGAAGTGGGAAAAACGACCCAAAAAGTGATGGATTTGAATTTAACAACTATCCGGCCTTAAAAGCATTTAAATTTTATAACCCCGGTATTTTCTTCTGAGAGACAAGGTTGTTCTTGGTCGTTAATTATGATTCAAAATTGAAATCAGACTTTTGACTTTTGAGAAAAACGGAACAATAAAAGAATAAGAAGAAAACAACATAAAAATTCAAGCCTGGCTCTTGAAAATCAATGAAGAATCGATTTTTCGCGGAGCAGTGGTTCTTTGGCATTATGGGCAACTTCCTGTTAATGAAGCGGAATCGACCGGAAGCTCCGCGCATAAAGCTCAATTGGCGCGGCGGGTTGCTAAGGGCACCTAAAAACTTCTTCAAGAATGAAAACTGCTTTTGTCAGATAGATTCAAGAGGGCCCAATCGACACAAAACCGGACGTCCCGCTGAGTGACGATGCTAACTTTTTTGGAAAACAGCCATTTTTATCGAAAAATTTAAAAATATCTTCAATATTGTAACAGTTAGTCTACCGAGTATTTCATTCAATTGCCCCGAGAAAATCATCGCCATATATGGCGACTTTTGAAAATCCACTTATGGCGCCCTTGTTCAAGCAGATCTGGCTAAGCCAAGTGAGGACTTTCTCTCTTTGCAATAACTAGGGAACGAAGATCTTACTTAGTCGTATTTACTAGAAATTTTATTTTTCACTCGATATTTTATTTTTTGCCGTGGCATTCGCGGTTGTTATGATAACGTTTTTCCTTGTGGTATGAAGCAAGCAAATACAAAAAGAGCAAAAAAACAGCAGAAAATTCCAAAACAAATCCAACCAATTACTTTTCCAAAGGTCTTCAAGCCGGACTTTTTAGTCGTTGTGGTCGTTGTTGTCATAGTTTCAGTAGTTGATGGGAATCTTATTTCTGCTAAATCATCAAGTTCTTTCTTCTGCTGCAAAAGTACTGCAATCTGCTCTGCCAGCAAATCTGACTCCTGTTTGGCCTCCGCTGCAAGTTTCTTTTCGAGCTGTTCTTTGTGGTAGCGCAAAACTTCAATCTCATCTTCTTTTGCCTTAAATTATCAAGTCTTACTTCGATCAAGAAGTAATTGTCTAACCAAAAGTTCCGCCTCTTGTTCAAATAATTGAATTTGTGTTTCTTTTTCGGTTTCTGGCTCAACTGGTTGTGATTCCTAGAATTGTTAAAGCGAGGTTATTTTTTTTATAATTATTACCGGGTTTCCTTGGAGAATGCTTATTATCTTTTGTTTTACTTTCTCTTGCTTATCTTCTTGGGCTTTTTGTTCATCAAGTTTTTCAAAGCAGCTATTCTTGATTGCTTTCATGTCTTTCCTTGATTTTTGGATAGAATTATATAAAAAAATATTAAAATGATAAAGCCAATTACAAAGGTGCTAACCATACTAAGGCACATTTTAGGTTTTTGCTAATCGATTCTATCCTCATTCCTGCATTCTGATATACATCGTCTGTCCGAGATTCCAGAGCACTCCTCCAAACACTCATTCAAATATCTCTTCGCTTCTTTCTTGCATACTTTTTTGGCTTTACCGATTTCGGCAGAAAGGAGCACAGGGAGAATAAAAAGAGAGAATTTCATAATTTTGAAGAATGCTGATATTCTCAACAAATTTCGTGCCCAGCAAAAAGGCAATATTTGCATTTCAGACAAAATTACCGCTATTCAATTATTTAAAGTTTGCTTTCTCTTCCAAAGTATGTTTGCTACAAAAAAGGCGAATGCTAAGGGACTTGACTTTTTATGTTTTTTCTTTAAATTTAGATAAATTATTGTAGAAAAAGTTCTATCTATCCATTTGTCTTATTGTATGCCCCTGGGCTCGGCAACCTGAGAAATAAACCTGAAAGATCTGAGAGATCAAACATGAAAAAACGAACCCGCGAAGCGGCTTCGCAATAATTTAAAAATTAGATTGGATATAAATATTGCGAAGCCGCTTTACGGCTTCGATAAAACAAAGCCGCTACGCGGCTTTTAATTTTGGATCTTTCAGACCCTGACTCAGGTTTTCTACCGGTACTCAGGTTGCCGAGCCTAGGTATGCCCCCATGATAAATCCTTTTACGAAGATGATAAGTTCAAGTACCAAGCGGTCGCCTTTTCTTGATTCTTGGGCTAATCACTTAACCAAAATTGGTCGCGATATCAACCCCTTAAAGATGGTCGCTTCGGAATTCTAGCGGCGGTTTCGGAGAAGGTAGATATTTTTGCAACATTCGTGAGACTCGCCAATTCACGCAATTTTAATAAGTTTTCTCATTGCACCTCTTGGTGTGGGTAATTTTACGCCAAACACGCGCAACGGGTTAATTTTTCAGATTTTTGGGAAATTTGAGAAAAAATATTTTTCATTTTTCTTTTGTTTTTTTCGACGATTTTGAACTCATTATATCAAAAATGAACTGAAAAAATTATTAAACATCCACAAAAAATAGAGCCATAGAGCATTTATGGTTTTTGAAAAAGTCTGGAAAGCCGCCAAAATGAAGTCCATTTTTCGCCAAGATTAATGCACCTGCATCTATCCCTGATAAAACCCCCTTCTTCTCGTTTTTCTCCTTTTTCATTTGAATTCTATATCAGCAGGTGATAAATGGGTGAATCTCCTTCTCCAATTTAAATTTTAAATCCGTCTTTTAACATAGCCAAAAATCTCCAAAGCTCATTTCATGCAATTAAGGATTATGGATTTCAAAATTTCGCGGAAACGGATGTTTATGATGAAAATTTTCGGTTGAATAATCGGGTTGTTGTAAGTTTGGGATTCCAAAATTGAAAATAACTCGCTAAATTTGTTAAGTGAATAAGCTAAGAGCAGGGTTGAAGGGTCTAAAAAGCAAACAGGTGCCATCTTAGGGGTGGCACTTGAATTATAAAGTGATACTTGGAGCAGATGAAAATTTTTTCGAAAGATATTTTCGGGTCGAAATATCGCCAGCTCCTTATATTTCAGTTGAACATCTTTTGAAGCCAGAAGTTCAAAAACTCCGCTTGTTATCCGAAAACATTAATCCAGTTATCGGAAGGGCTGTCCGAATCGCTCGTTTTGCGCAAAAAGGTCTTTGTGTTTTGGGTCGGCAGGTTCGCCTCAATTTCGGCGTCAAATCGAATTATGTAAACGCGCAACAGAAAAAAACGCCACAGCTTTCAGACGGAAATAGCACCTTTGACAGCGGTTCTAAACCCAACATAACAAGAACAAGAACGGTTTGGATGTTAGAAAGTGGCTTTTTTGTCAGAGGGTTGATGCAATTGTCCACAGCTGTCTTGAAGGAGCCAAAGTTGTGAAGATTGCAGTTTTTGAACCCATGCCACTTTTTGGATGGGAAAGTGCTTTAATATCTTTATTTTCGCGCTTATAAGATTATCAATTGCTGGCTGCAGTTCTGTCAAAAAATCTCGTATTACCAAAACACTTGCATTTTCGTCAGTAAAAGCGCTGCGTGCCTAAGAGCGCGTTAAAGATATTGCGCCGGACGCGCTCTATTGATGTTTCTGTTGCCGAAATCCAAGGCATAAAAGAACACCTTTGTTGGCACAACAGGAATATGGAAAAAAAAAGACAACTCAAAGGAAGTTTTTTTGAAGAGTTTGAGCCACCTTGGGCTAGAATAACTTTCTTAGGAAATGGATTTGGTCGATCAAAGAGGGGGATTTATATTCTGATCTTTGCTTTGAAAAATTTTACTTCTGTAATTATCAACTTGAATAAATTAAGAGGATACCCCTTATTATTTTGTTTTACCCATGATTTCGACAAATTTTTCGACGAAAATTCGACAAAAAATCGACAAAATATTTTCGACAAAAAATCGACAAAACTTTCGACAAATTTTGCGTTGAAATTCTGAACCAATCAGAAGCCTTGATTCGGCAAATCTGCCAATCAGAAGCTGAGTTGCCGCCCGCGCAAAATTTATCAAAATTTTTGTCAGTTCCAGACGCCATCCCTTTTCTGGAACTCTTTTTTTATCTGAGGACTCGGCGACCTGTGTAAAAAACCTGAGTCAGGGTATGAAAATGCTTCGTTTCTAAAAAAGCTTTATCATACCCTGACTCAGGTTTTTAACACAGGTTGCCGAGCCCAGAAGTTCTTTCTATCGAATAGCTAATAAAATACTTATCCATAAATTAAGGGCGACAGAGCGACATTTATAATTCATTCTGAAAATGATAAATCTCCATAGTCGATGGACCCTGGACCTCGCCTTCTTTGTTTTTGTTTTTTCTCCCTTCGTCGGTGATTAGAAGATGGGGGAGGAGAAGGTTTAGAGCTGCGCTCAGCACATGTTCGACACGAAAAATAAGGGTCAATAGCAAAACAATAGAGCTTCAGCCCTTGTCTTCGATAATTAAGATAAAATCAATCTGAAAATGAGCGCAAACCAAGCTACTTGACATGAAAATTTTTCGGCGACTAGAAATTTAAAAATTCGAGCTTGATGGATAATCGCGCGCCGGAAATGGTCAAATTTGACAGTTCGAGAGTTAATAAGTGCTCTGTTACGGGGATGGCGGATTCTTTGGAGATCAGCCAAATTCAAAATCGGACGAGAAAAAAAAATAATATTTTTTTAAAATTAAAAAAATATTTTTTTTAGAAATTTGAAAAATTTTTAACTTTTTTTGAAAAATTTTTTATTATTTTTTTGAAAAAAAAAATTTTTTTCTCATTTTTTATGAAAAATTTTTTTTTCATCTAATTTTTTTTTCTGCTTCTTATTTTTTTTCTATTGAAGCCACTCCAGTTGCGGAAACGCAAACTATGCAAATCCCTTCTCCCTTATCAGTTCAAAACTAGCGGCTTATCCAGGCATCGTTGGGAGAAAGGAAGCCTCTCTCAAGTGAGCGAGTTAAATGTCCATAAAAAGCAAGCTAGTTCTAGCTCTGCGATAAAGCCTCTATCTCGGCAATAGAGCAGCGTGTTGAGAATGTAAGATAAGAGGAATTAAGTTCTTTTATTATTTGGTGCAGCGTCTTGATCCGTTGTTGATTTCGATCAGCAAATTTGGCTTTTTTAGAAGTCGATTTTTCGATTTTCTTTTTCATTTTTTGATTTTCAATTTCGAGTCCTCTAAAAACTCGTAATCCGTCTTCGCCAGGCAGTGCCGTCAACAAACAGAATCGCGTCCCTCTATTTGGATTTCACGCGGCGGTTCCGACCTGCTCCTGACCCCGGAGCACGAAACGGTGTTGTCTCCCAACAAGCTGCGGTTTCGCTTAAAACGCGCAAGTCTTGACTCTTGTGTTGATCGAAATCATGGTCTTGCGAAAATCAAGGCGTCAACAAATCAATTTACGCTAATTGACTAAAACAAGCTTACTAATTGGGCCGCAGAATTACGAAGAGTCTGAAAATTGCAAATCACGTGAACGGGGTGTCCTAACTGTGATTACACTCTCAACGAAAAGGCTCATTATCGACCGTTAGCACCTTAGGAACTTCGAATTTCGATAATGAGAAATTCCAAAGCCCCTTTTTCTGAAAGACCAAAAAGGCTGGAATAGACATAAAATACGACAAAAATCGATTTTTAGTGGCAAAATTTGAATAAAATAATTTCATTGGTCGAAAATTTGACCAAAAAAAAGGACCGAAAATATTCGATTTTTTATGAAAATTTTCCTTGAAAATCAATTTTTCAACAAGTTCTACTTTGAAGATAAGTTTTAATGAAATTTGGGTACTGAATTTTTGCGTTCTGGTTGTGCAACGTGAAGGGCTAGAAGAGGTTTCGACTTGGCGACTCATTCGATTTACATAAGTGGACGACACGGGATTTTCATGCCGACTCACGTCAGCCTCAGAAGGATGACGAGAGTGAGGGCAGATCAGAGTTGACGCTCATCGAGTGTTATCCGCTTCAAAATTAAATGCTCCCGTGGGTTCTGAAACAATCTTTTGACATAAAATTATTTATTGAAATCAAGGAAGAGAACGCATCGGAAATCAGAAAAAATGAAAATCTAGATTTGAAAAAGAAGAAATATTCAACATGTTTTTGCTTCTGAAGAGTCGTTTCTCGTTGTCGGCATCAGAGTATTCCGCGGTGTTTCTAGAGAAAAAAATATAACAGGTTGAGAAAAAGTTATAATGAGACCTTCTTGTGATGATCGTGGAGCCATGCTTCTGCTCGGAAGAATATGAAATTGTCCTTTCTTATCGAAAAAGATAAGCGTTTTTTTCGCCAGTTCTTAGCCTTGCTTGGGTTGATCCAAGACAAATTACCGAACCAGGCAACCCATCAGCCACACAAAAATTATCCCTCGTTTTTCAAGGGCTTTAAACTGCTTTTAACTTTTACGAGTTCAAGTTCTCTCAACAAATTTGACGCTAAAAGTTTTCTCCGAATTTTAACTCGCACCTGATAATTGGTTAGCTAGAGCATATCTTACTGTATATTCTATACAGTAGTTCTTGTAAGTCTTTTGGAGAAAAGACCATTAAACTACTCTAGCTACATCAAAAAAAGCTACTGACGGGTCGCCGGAGCGAGAAAAAATAACGAACAACTGTAGTTGTATGTAATTCACAACTCAGTGCCTAGGGTTAAATAAAGCTAAGATTTCTCGAATTCGATGGCGGGTCTCTTTTTATCAACGCTTTTTGTCTAACGTATTTCGCTTCGTAACGATTCATTTTTTAGATTGATAACGCTAGTTCCTAATGAGAATTGGGCTAGCTTATCCAGCGCGGGCTTTTTTGATGTTGACGGAGAATCGATGTTGATGATGTCTAATTTGAGCTTTGTAATCGTTGTTAAGAGGGTTAAATTACCGGGTGGAGGATCAGGACTTTTGTCATCTTTTCTCGTTTCGTCAGACCCTTATTTTCCTATCAAGATTGCTTGTTTTATAAGGTGCTTACCGAAACTCTCCTCAGAGTTATTTGATCCAGCATCAGTTCTATCAGAAGTCGTTGATGATGTTGGAGTCGAAATTTCGTCTGAACTATCAATTGAAGAAGATGTATTAATGACTCACCGGAATTATTCTGCGGTGGGGAGTTGGAGCTATTCGAATTGCTCGAATTCGTTGATGAAGGCGAAGACACCGAGTTTGGGGTTGACGCGTTCAGACTGAAGAAAACATAGAGGAAAATAAGAAAATGGAAAAACCTGGCGACTTGCTTAGCAAGCTTATGCTGATGAAGCATTTTTTGTATTCTCAATGTTTCTCGTCCAATTGCTTAATAGTTGATCATCAAACTAATATTCATTTTATTTGATACCGAAAATGTGATGATGCTCCATCATCTGATCATTAACCACCATTTTCTTCGCTTCAGTTGATTTTTCAAGGAAGTCATCTATGATTTCATTGTAACCAATAAAAAGAGTCGAAAAACTTACCAAGGAAATTGCAAGCTTTGGAAGAATTAAAGAGCATCGAATTTGGAGGAATGTTTTTTCCTGAAGCTTTCTGATTTTGGCTCAATTTTTCATCAAAATTTACAAAAACATATTCTTCATTTTTGAGCCCAAGATAAAAGTTCAGGAGTTTCTTTCTTATGTAAGAGTTGAATGCAACTGCTTCCTTTGCTTCCTTTATGTATCCCACTAGAAGTTCACGATAAAAGAGCCGTTTTAATGAGTCTTACAGGTTTTCATGCGTCTTTTTCTCTGCATTTCCGGGCAGCCTCGTTGTTTTTCATCCTTTTGACTTCTTTGTCTGTTTCAAGAGCGATTCTCTTGTTTGGCTTCTTGACCTGAATTCGATTCTAAGTAAGTCGTTTTCTTGATTTATATAAAGGCGTACCAAATAGAGCGTAAAAAACGCTTTGATTCATTTTTAATTGCGTCAGTAAAGATCAATTTGAGTTATTCTCTCTCTACTTACATCCGGTTTTTTGCTTCTTTTTGAAGGACAAATCGGTTTCTTCCAAATATCCACATCTTGTCCGTTTTGGATTGTCTGGCCGACCACCTGATTTGCCGATTTCTCAATTGCAGCCATTTATAAATTCAGTCGATTGATAAAAACTTGAATATCATGGTTGTCATAAAAATATTATTGAAGCGTGGTGGTATCGAGATGGTTAACTATTGAAAGCGAGTTTACGCCTGGTTAATCACTAATTCCACTGCAGCGCCAATCGTAAGGCACTTGTGGAACTTTCGCCTTATGTAAGGAATTGCAATATGTAACAAGCGCCCCATGAACGAGAAAATTGCACAGCTTGCGAAAGGGGCTAGATATGAAGAATCGGATTTCCTGTCAGTGTTTTCTTTCATTTTTAACATAGTAACTCCCTTATTTTTTCTGCTCAAAAATCATTTCAGGCAATTATCTATTTCCTCTGGAAACCAAAAATAAAGATTTTTTGAGCTTTTGAGGTGCGACAATGCAAATCGGGCACCTCCGATTGTCGCCATTATGACCATTTTAGGAAAGTCAGCAATCTTTGACGAGAAATTCCTTGACTTTGAAATCCGAAATTTCGGCTTCCATAGATATTTGAAAAAGGTCTTAATTTTTTCTTTTCAAAATGAAACAAGGGTGTAACTTTTTTATATTTGGGACAAAAATATGAATGAAAATCCCAATTCTTGGTATCTACCTCCTTAAGGAACCCCCGTCAACGATTTTCCTCAAATAATGGAAAATTTCAAAAATGCCATATTTTGGCTTCTAAGTGTTCCTGGAAGATCAATTTATCATAAAAACTTGTTGGGAGCACCTTTTGACCAAGAAAAATCTGAAATTTTGCAAAATTTGGACTTTTTCGTCATTTTTCCTCAAAAAGTCCGATTTTCAAACGCGATTTTGAGGGTGTTAGAGTCGAGATAGACCCCGAAAAAATGAAGCCTCAAAATCGTTTTTTGACCCGTAGAATCCAATTCTGGGGTCAAAATTTTGAAATTCCGAAAATAAATTTTTCGAAAATTGTTGACGGGGGGGTCCTTAAGTCTTTATCCGATTTTTTTATTATTTTTATTAAGATTAATTGCCTTTCAACTAAAAAAATTTTTATAGAAGCTCAAAGAATATAAAATGTGGAAAAAAGGATTTTTATGAGACAATTATGTTTATTTTCGAATCAGAATTTAAGAAGAAGTTTCGTCTTCAAATTCATTAAAGACTGAACTGTTTTAATTGTGAATTTTGATTCTTTTTCGTCGCAGCGAGAAGTGTATTGAGTTGCCCATACTTCCAAGTTGTCGAAAATTTCAATTGTGTAGTCTTCGATTTTTTCCGCAGTCGATAGTCTTGAAAAATTATAATTAAAAAATTGATGAAAGTGATTGAATAATCGAAAGATTAATCGACTTACTTTATTTCAGCTAAATGAGAGAAAAGACAATTATCTTGTTTTTTCTTGAATTCGTTCTTCATTTGTCTCCTTTTTTGTTCAAGAGCTTGAATGGTTTTTTTCTGGAATCGTTTATTTCGTTTCGCTCTTTTGAAGACATTAATGTTCTCAATTTTTTCGACATAAGCATCGACTAAAGAATCGAGTTGAATATCGGGATGGACGGATCCTGAACAGCAAAATCGCATTTGATCATTCTCGATCTCGTAGTCGGCTAGATTGCTTTCCTCGAAAAAGCTTTGAGCAAAAAGAAACGAGTTCAATTGAAAAGAGTCGTCGACTTGCTGAGCCGCGAAAGCTTGACAAATGTCGAAACGAAAATTCGCGTCATCCAAAAGAATGTTCCTTTTCTTTTCAACAAGATCGAATCCTTCAAAATAGGGGGTATAAAAGGGCCCTCCTTCTGCATTTTCAAAAATTCTGCCGTCTTCGGGTCTTTCTGCGTCATCGTCGCAGCTGAAAAAGCCGAAAGAATCAATTCCTTCTTCCGAAAAAGGTGGACAGCAAAGACGAACGTCGCATTTGCCGAAATGTTCACAGCTATCATTTTCCATTTCTTTATAACATTTAACACATTTAATTTTAAAATCGATATTATGAGAAAATTTTTTGTAGACTGTTTCCTATAAAAGTTGAATTTTCCGGTTCATAAGGAACGCCGTTGAAAATAGAAGATCGAAGGACGAAATCATCGTGATTGGCCATGATTCGAAAGCCGGTGCAAATATCTTTTCTTTATCGAATTTCATTAAAAACTTAGACGAACGAAATCTTTTAATTCTATCATTTCTAACACATAAATTGATCGATTGCAAAAGTAAAAGACAATATTTTTTCTGCTATTTAAGCGTCGACTCAAATGGAAATTATTGAAAAATGAAATCCGTTCTCTTATTCCATCAAGTTTAAAAACATGATTTACATTCCCGTCGGCGTATGTTGGAACAGATATCCATTCCGTGGTGAAAGCTTCCCATGGTTGAGTCGAATAGGTTAATTTTTCCGAGTTGCACTAAATACGTTATTTATTTATTATTATGTTATTTATTTTTATTTATGTTATTTATTTTTAATACATTATTTTGAGCATAAGCGTAATAGAAAGGTGAATCAGCGATTCAGCATCACAAATAAATCTTTAACTTCCAATATTAATGCCTTGATCAAGCGTTAAAATTGCCCGTTAGTTCTCGACTACTGTCTTTCTACTGAGAAAAGCAACTTTAAATTTTGTCTAAAAACATAAGTGAAAATTTGTCGAGCTTTCTTAATATTTTTACCTGTGCAGAGGCGCCTTGAAAGAAAAAAGGAATGAAAACAAACATCTTGCTTGAAATTCGCCTTTTTCTTTCCTCTTTTAAAATGAGAACTCAGGCGTCGCGGAGCATTTCTGCCGCGGCGCTCATGAACTGCAATCTTGCAAGAAAAATTGCTTGGATAGCGCTATTGAGACCGAAAGGTTCAACTTCTGATATAAATTCGTCAAATTTTGTTGGCCAATTCAAACGATGAAGTTTCTCATTTACCTCTTTTTCGCTGCTGCGCAAGCTTGCAATCATAATTCAAGACCAGAACCGAAGAAAAACCATGCAAGGATATGAAATTAAAATGTCCAGGCAATACCGGTAAGATCTTAAAATAAACAAAAAATAATTTCAAAAGGTAAAATTCCCTCAATATACATTTGCATTGCTGAAACGGGAGGAGCTCGAAATTTTTCTGCATGCAGAACTATTCTCAGTCGGAGTCCAAAATAAGAAACTCTTTTTGCTCCAAAATTTTCGAAAAAGTCCCTTAAATTGGGTCATCAAAGCAAAAATATGTCGCTGCCAAATTTTTCGAAGTATATTTTTAGCGGAAAAATAAGCTTAATTTATTGTTTTTGTGGTTTTGAAGACATTTTTGAAAGAGGAAAACATATTCTGAAAGGCGAATGACTTCCGTTTGCCGCATAACTGCTTGAAATCAAGGTTATTGATACCTTTTATTAGCAATCAACAAACAGAAAAAGCTTACTTATCTCAGAAAGTCCCTTAAATTCGATTTTTTTCTGCCGCTGATTTTCGGTATTTTGAGCAAAAAAGTCCCTTATCTTGGTGTCCCTTATTTTGGACTCTGACTGTACATAAAAAAAAAGAAAAAATCTGATAAGAGAGGAACAATTTTGCGCTTTGCAGAAATATTCTGCCGAATGCAGAACAATTCTGCAAAAGTAAATTATTCTGCAAAAACAGATTTATTCTTCACAAACGCAGTACTACTCTGCTTAGTCATGAAAAAGATCATCATTTAAAGACAAAGCTTCAGTGTCTGAGAGCACGCTGCGGGCCTACGGCCTTTGCGCGCAAATTCTAGAAGGAAATTCATTTCTGAAGGTGGCCACTTTCTCTTCTTTCGGGCCTTAGCTGAAAATGGTTAGTGCGCAATCTTATTCAAGCAAACCATAAGCCCGTAGCTCAACTGAACTGTTTAAGATCTGGTGGCTCATGCCATTTACTAAATTCTAATAAGCAGCCGCCTCTGTTCAGCTTGAGAGGTGCCAAATTTTTTTATTTTTAAATTTATTTTGTAGATAAATACGCTTATGTCAAACGGACCCGAAAAGGCGACAAATGCATTGTTGACGATTGGAAGGATCTGACTAGAACGGACTCGACGAATGTTATTGACAAATAGTAAGTTAAACTTAAAATAAAAATTCAGTTCTTTTTCCGAAGTTCTGACAATGACGCTTTCCGATTTTTCAAGTTTTAGGGCAGACTCAGGTTTAATGGCTCATCTTAAATGGGCATGATTAGGAGCTTTTATAGGAGCACTCGCTCACAAGTCTCGCTCAAGGTCCTACTCAATTTCTGAGCTACAGCTTTAACTCGACTTTTAATGCTTGTACTCGCTCTAAAGCTTGATTAAGCGAGCCTTGATAGACATTAGATTTGCGTCGTTGTAATCATTCATTATATGCGAAAAATTTCTATGATCAAAATAGTATGTCAAAAATGACATGATATCAATGACATTCGAAAAAAGGGGCCAATTCGCACATGCGTTAAAAGTAACATAAAATTTAGTTGCAAAGATTCAACACCACTTTCGGACAAATGTTGGGACCACATTTTGCCGAACAAAACAAGACCCTGCTCAATTCCGACAGAAGTTCACGAGTTCAAGCAGATATTCAAGAACGATCTATTGGGTATTTGCCCTGAATATGTCATCGACAAGGTTGCACGAGTTTTGAAGAGGGTTAATGAAGAGGTCATCATTAAAACATGTCATTTGCAACCGTCTTGTTTAATT